AACAAGAGCAGCAGAGTTCGCCTCATTAATAGAGAAGAATAAGAATAATCCTAGATTTCCTTTTTATACAGTTGCCAAACTCACCCAGAGCCATGGCTTAGTTGAACCGTCCATTCCACCTACTCTTAGGAGTAATGATTTTATGGGATTCTTTATAAATAAGATTGATCTTATTAAAAATAAGATCATTAGTACTCCTCTATCCGTGATTGTATCTGAGGTATTCATGGAATCTGAACCGGGTTTAGACTGCTTTGATCCAGTTGAACTTTCAGAGTTAGCAAAACTATTGTCTTCATTTAAGCCTTCAACTTGTTTGTTAGATCCAGTTCCAACCAGGTTATTTAAGGAGGTATTCCCTTTGATCTCCTCCTCCATTTTAGATGTGATTAATCTATCTCTGTAACAGGGATATGTACCAAAGGCTTTTAAGGTTACTGTAATTAAACTTGCTTAAGAAACCAACTCTTGACCCACATGACTTGGTCAGTTATAGACCTATATGGTCCTGTTGGATCTCAGTGCTGCGTATGATACAGTTGACTATATTATTCATTTAGAAAGACTTGAATATTTTGTTCGAATTAAAGGACTTTTTTAGTTATCAGGCTCCTCTCCTGTGGAACCAACTACCAGTTTTGGTCCGTGAGGCAGAAACCCTGTCTACCTTTAAGAGTAGGCTTAAAACGTTCCTTTTTAATAAAGCATGTAGTTGGAGTGGCTCAAGTTATCCTGAGCTATCTCTATAGTTATGCTGCTATAGGCTTAGACATCTGGAGGACAGGGGGACCCCTATTTCATCATTCTGCTTCATTCTATCTCTATTCTGCCACTCTGCAGAATCTGTTTGTTCAATCTCTAACATTATGCACTCTCTGCTTTTTCTCATAGTAGCTTTGCTGTTCCTGTTTGGCTGTGACACCATCCTGGATATAAATATGAACTGTGCTGCTGCAATCAACACCATTGTTTAGAGATGCTGGAGATCGGCCTGTTTTCCAGTGTAGTCCTGTTTCTCTGACCGTGACTGGCTGGATGTGCTCTCTTCATCCTCTGACATGGGAGCTGG